GCCGGGGGGAGGAGCAGAGAGGGGCCATGGGGTGGGAGAGCTGCTGGGGAGCAGAGTTGGGTGGGCAGGGAGAGGTTGTAGGGCAGGCTGGGCAGGAGCAAGGTGGGTGCTGGGGGAGGCTGTGGAGCAGTGCTGGGCTGGCCGGGCAGGGAGAGGTTGTAGGGCAGGAGCAAGGTGGGTGCTGAGGGGCAGGGAGAGGCTGTGGAGCAGTGCTGAGCACTCGGGGCAGGGCCAGGCAGGCCCGGGCGCAGAGCCGGGGCCTAGGCTGAGTCCGTTCTCTCGGGCTTTCCCCAGAGTACCTGAACTACGAGGATGGGAAGTTCTCCAAGAGCCGCGGCGTGGGGGTGTTCGGGGACATGGCCCAGGACACGGGGATCCCCGCCGACATCTGGCGCTTCTACCTGCTCTTCCTGCGCCCCGAGGGGCAGGGCAGCGCCTTCTCCTGGCACGACCCCCTGCTCAACAACTTGGGCAACTTTGTCAACAGGTGCGCGGCGGCACGGGGCTGGGCTGCAGAGAGCTGGGGGTGGAAGGGAAGCCCTGGGCCAGCCCTGTGGGGTGCGGGAGGTGGGCAGGCCCAGGGAGGCTGCTCAGAGCTCGTCTCTCCCGCCCAGGGCCGGCATGTTCGTCTGTAAGTTCTTTGCCGGGCGTGTCCCCTCCATGGAGCTGGGCGCGGACGACAAGCGGCTGCTGGCTCACATCACCCTGGAGCTGCGGCAGTACAACCAGCTGCTGGAGAAGGTCCGGTCCAGCCAGGGCCAGTGAGGGGGCGGGATTCCCCCCCAGCCCAGCGTGGTGGGGGGCAGGTGTCACCCAGATCTCAGGGTCTAACAATGGGGGGTTGGGAAGGAACCGCCCCCCCAATGGCCCCCAACAGGATTGACTTAGTGCCAGTGGGGCGTTGGGGAACTTGGTCTGGGCTTTGAGCAGGTAGCCATGGGGTGAACCCAGGCTGCGGGGCCGGCGCTGTGCGGGTAGCCATGGGGGGAACCCAGGCTGCGGGGCCGGCGCTGGGGGGGGCGG